GACAGAGCTGAGAAATTCCCTGATTCTCCCTGAAAGTTCACATGAGCACATGAAACAAGAGCCCTTCACTCACTTTCACTCATCTCTGATCTGAACCTTTGATTGCAGCAAACAGCTGGAGGAAGATCAGTACGGCAAAGCCGAGGAGCTCCACAGAAACAAGATGATTGAGATGAGAACCACACAGCTGCTCAGCAAAGACCTGAAACTCTACGAAGAGGCTCTAGATCAGTAAGTTTACCGCAGGTCATCGCTTGATCATCAGTGTGGGACAGAAACCATGTGAAGGTCACCAGAGTTTCTGTTTCTCTGTTGCTTCCACAGAGCCATCGTGAAGTTCCACAGCATGAAGATGGATGAGATCAACCAGAACATCAGAGACCTGTGGCGCAGCACCTACAGGGGTCAAGGTGCATCTCACTGACCCCCTCAGACAAAAATCAGCTCAGTGATCGAAGACGTGCTTGTATCTATGAAACTACAGCAGAGTGTGATCCAGACGTCTCAGACACATTTTACACGTCTGATCACCAGAAAACTGCTCAGTGGGTAAATGTGAGTGTTTGGTCTTCACCTCGTGTCTCCTCTGCAGATATCGAGTACATCGAGATCAGGTCTGAGGTGGAGGAGAGGTCGGAGAGGCGGAGGAGCTACAACTACAGAGTAGTGATGATGAGAGGAGACGCAGACGTGAATATGAGAGGGCGCTGCAGTGCCGGTCAGAAGGTATTTAAAAGATTTTCTGTGTCAGCGCCTCCGTCACTTAAACTCTTGTTTAGTTGGATGGATTGATCCTGTGTGTGTTTAGGTGCTGGCATCCCTGATCATCCGGCTCGCTCTGGCAGAGGCCTTCTGTCTTGACTGTGGAATCCTGGCCCTGGATGAGCCCACCACCAACCTGGACCGGGAGAACATCGAGTCCCTGGCAGACGCTCTCGTAGAGTCAGTGCATGCAAACGATGTGTTACCCAGAGAAACCTGATGTTTGTTCAGCCTAAAGCCGAACCTCTGACTTTGTGACTTTCCCTAAAGCAGACGGTGTAAATAAAAGCTCACAGCTTCAAAGTACAAACTTATAATAAATGGATGAAAGATCTCAAAGATAGCCTGACAGGACAAACATTAAACACACTCCAGACCTTACAGAGTCGTAGCTTCATCTGTTGCATTATTCAGGCTGCTTCTTGAATCCTCTCCACTTCTCTGTCTCCTCTGTCCTCTCCAGGATCATAAGGACTCGCTCTCAGCAGCATCACTTCCAGCTGCTGATCATCACTCATGACGAGGACTTTGTGCAGCTGCTGGTTCGGTCCGGGTGCATCCAGCACTTCTACCGCATCAGCAAGAACCAGGACCAGAACTCAAAGATCACAAAGCAGAGCACAGCCTTCCTCTCTGTGTGACACCTTGTACCTCAACAGCTATGAAATCACTTCATGGTTCACCCTCTCACACACAGCCACGTGAGCTGCTCGCCCGGCATCAGGATGAAATTTGGATTTGGCGTCTCAGCTGATGACACGTCAGCACGTGAAAGTCTGTGGACTAAAAGACACAACCTGTTCAGCAATCAGAGGCAGCTTCCTCTGAGGGGACAGAGTTCTCTTATGAATGTTTTTATGGGACAAAGAGGTGTGAGTGGTGTGTGCTGTGATTTAGTTTTTTGTTTGTTTTTTAGTTCTCCTCTGGTTCCTCTAAAGGGCACCCAGGACAGTTCTGAACATCAGCAGCTGTTATAGAGCCACAGGTGACCTGCATGCATTAAATTATGTTAATGCATGCAGGAAATCCTTTTTCCTGTTAGGGTGGCTCAATTTTGTAGTTTATTTTTTAAATATTTTTCTTTACTGTTAAATTTGTTTTCCCTACAAATATTTACTGCTGGACTTGGTAGAATAATGCACATTTGTCAGCACTCGCTCACATACACACCGTATGTAGTACCATCGACACT